GGGTAGAGAAGATAACCCTTAATAATACCTTTTTAAAATGACATTATGAAATCAAATTAATAATACCTTTTTTCTGTTATCTTCTCTACCCTAACATTGACTGTAGCTAAATGATCAATGTACAGTAAAATGACATTATGATATCAAATAAATAATACCTTTTTCTGTTATATTCTCTACCCTAACATTGACTGTAGCTAAATGATCAGTGTCCAGTAAAATGACATTAGGAAATCGACTGGACATTGATCATTTAGCTACAGTCAATGTTATGGTAGAGAAGATAACAGAAAAAACGTTTTACCATATACTGTAAGACGAAAAGAAATATTTCTACTCCTAGCATGAAAACCACTATGCACTCATACTGACCTAGTAAAAGCTTCAAAAGTTCAATGTCAAATCTTATTATAAATAATCATTAAAAATTCTGATTTTATGTGTACAACAGACTTGTAAAATTACTTAGTAAATTTAGTTATATTTCATGATTACAAGGTCAAAATGACCATGCCCAAGCATAAAGTGTTAATGGCCAGAATGAAAATGACAGTTATTAAGACATTATTTTTCAGACCAGAGTGATAAATATTCACTAATAAACTTCCAAAAGAAAGTTCCAAAATACACAGGGTCAATTGATAATGTTTTTATTAAATATACATGCAATTTATTTTTAATTTGTCGTGAAAAATACCTTGGAAAAGAACATAATAAAAATTGTTATTATATTTTGTACAGTGGCAAGTGCAGTATATATAGATGTCTAGGCAACCTGAACACTAAATGACCCTGACTCTCTGTCCCTTTCATCACAATATATTACTAGCTACAGACATGTAAATCTTCTTTTTTTTGACGGTATGTGAAGCTATATTTTTTTACACCAAGGTTTTCAATTTGTAAAGCCAACCCCAGCTCCTTTGCATTATTTCACAGGTAAGATCCAATATTTAGAGATTTCATTAGTATTCAGAATTATTTTTACTTGAAATAGAAGTAATTAAAACTATAGTCAAAATATAATCCTAATGTTTCTTGGATTTTTTTTTCTGGCATATTAGATATCAATGAAATGTAACTACATTGATTTTTTTAGGATTACTGGTAAAACTACATATTTAATCAACCATGTAGGCATATATTACCACAAATAATATTCCTCATACATGTACTTAGTTACTTGAGTTATAAACTATATACAATGGCTGGAATAGTAAAATAATAGTTTAAAACAGCTCTAAATACTCTACATATCACTCCTTTAGTGAAGATGAAAGGCAAAAAGACTTTCGAAATGTCGTCCTCTATACTCGTGTTTGTATAACAGACAGTTATAGAAAGTTCATCGTGAATACTCTGTCTAAACAATCATCTTGCAATTTATAAAAAATAAATGTAAAAATATTTACATTTTTGTTATGATTAATACAATATTAAAACTTAATAATAATAATTTCATTTTAACCAAACAATACTGTCATACTTTTGTAGGAAAACACATTATGCTAACATAGGATTAAATTAACAACAAATTTTAAGCACGATGATATTTAATGTAGAAAAACGTTTTTCAAAAGACATACAAGTGTTGAAATATGTATGTTTGCTACAAAAATATAATTTTGCTTACATTCACAAATCTTTATTTGTTTATTTACTACAATATATACATTTTGCAAAACATCATAAACTCTACAAAAGTACAATACTAAATACTAAAATAGTAATTAGTATAATTTAAATATGTTTATGTTGAATATACAAATACATTACACGACAAACATATTTTGAGAAAATCATTACGATTATTAATGAAACACCCTATTTTAAACTAAACTTAAAAGTTAAAGGTGTTTATTGGCAACAAGACCTAACTGAATGATGGGCAGAGATTACTCACTACACCAAAGCCCTAATTTTCAATGTTTACACTGTAACTGTAAGAAAAGAGTTAGGGTTAGTAACTAAGGCCTAACTCCTATTCCTAAACATAATAAGCTTAAACTTCAAGCACCTACCGATATTGACAGAGGCCAGTCATATATTACCGGTTCTGCTCCAGCCGGACTATGTAAACGTAGCTTCCGAGCCATATCTTAACACCTGTACAATAACAGACAACATTAAAAATTATCTTTGAATCACAATCACACACTATGTAAAATGTCAATATCCCAAGATAATCCAAACTTTACCATTAATGATTAAACACATTCCCAACCCTACTCCTAGCCTCTCGTCTCAACTGTCAGTGTCACGTGATAACGATTCCTCACCTACCCCTTTCACTGTGTAAGTTGTTCATTCAAAATACAACTTTACTATTTTTTACATATTCCAAGCCTTTCTGAGTTACTTGTCATTTAATTACGTTTCTTGAAAGAAAAATTCAGTTAATTATTGTTTTAGGGTATAAAACTTCACGGACTGACCGTTCTGTTTCTCGTCTAATTAATTATAGAGGTCAAAATCTGTAGTACACACGGTTTAGTTCTTGAAATATAACATAAATACAATACAATATTGAAACTAAGAGAAATCAATAGTTGGTTGTTGTTGATTGCGTTAGTTATATTATTCAGCGGTTTTGTGGTAACCATCGCTAAATAAGTGAGAAACAGTTTCTTTTTTTCTTTTTTTTTGTAGTTAAGCGCAAAACTACACAGTGGGCTATCTGTACTGTACTAATCACAGGTATCGAAACCCGATTTCTAGCGTTATAAATATACAGATTTACCTCTGTGCCAATGGGGGTTTTTGTGAACGGTATTGCAACAGTCTTTTTTTGTTTAATATTTACATGTTTACATATTTTATTATTTATAAGTAACTTAATTTATAACCACAATTTAGAACATTCTAAATTATACATAAAATGCCCATATGTAAGGTTGTAGACATTTCTGTTGAACAACTATGGCTTAATGAAATGTTATGACAGCGGAAGTCACGTGACACTGGTAACACGTAATGAGTTTCTAGAAGGATCATGACTGTTCTTGGCAACTCTAGTGTTTGCCAGACGCCCTCTATTTTTGTATATATAAGACCAGCAAGAAGTGACAGCATATATAATTGCAGACAGGCAGAGATAGAGACGGACAATTGAGTCAAGTGCGGTAGTGACCGCAAGTAAAGTGCGTGAATCGTTGTGAATTATAGCATGTGATTAAGTTAAAAGTGACTGTGGAAATTAAGTGTATTGCAAAATTGTATTGAGAAAGAATAAACTAGTTTTATTTATGAAAGGACTTGTGTAACTAAAGTTTTATCGGAAAGAAATTATACAGGAAATTAACAAATGACCAGAGGCATAACAAATTGGTGTCAGAGAGTGGGACGGAAAAAGAAAAGAAACAAGAAGCGAGATTACAGCAGTTGTTGGAGGAAAAAGAAACGAAACAAGTAGAAAGAGAAAATAAACAAGAAGAGAGATTACTGCAGTTGTTGGAGGAAAAAGAAAAGAAGCAAGAATAAAGATTACAACAGTTGTTGGAGGAAAAAGAAACGAAACAAGTAGAAAGAGAAAATAAACAAGAAGAGAGATTACTGCAGTTGTTGGAAGAAAAAGAAAAGAAACAAGAAGAACGAGAAAATAAACAATAAGAGAGACTACAGCAGTGGTTGGAGGAAAAAGAAAAGAAACAAGAAGAACGAGAAAATAAACAAGAAGAGAGACTACAGAAGTGGTTGGAGGAGAAAGAAAATAAACAAGAGAGACTACAGCAGTGGTTGGAGGAGAAAGAAGATGAACAAGATGAGAGGCTACAGCAGTAGTTGGAGGAGAAAGAAAATAAACAAGAAGAAAGTCTC